TCACACTGCAGCACAAACCATGGCGGCAAATAGTCCTGGGTTTTGGTCACATTCATGCAACATTCGATCTTTATCTTTCTGTGTCAGCCTCAGGAGAGTGATATCATTCATGGTCACCTGGTTGAAATAGGGGAAGTTTTGTAAGGGAACAGTAATCCCCTCTGTTTGGTGATCCCCGACACATTAGACCCCGGGCATGCTGGGCTGTTTGCGCTTGGCTAAAAGGGATCATCCCAGAGAATAGCCACGCTGTGGGGGAGGGGTGTCCCGCACATCCACCCCAAAACCCCAGCCCCTCCTTTTAAACGGCAAACACAACCGGCATTGGTTGCTATGGGAAAGGAGGGCACTGCAGTTTGAAACCATTCCCACATGTTATGAATGCGGAGAAGCCAACCCCACGTACCCTTTGGCTTACCATGGCTGTCTGCAAACCAAATTCTGTTGCCCAGCCGTGTGTGATGTGTCACCATACTGGCAGGCGCTCAATATAAAAGGCAACATGCGACCTTGTACCTAAAACACATGTGCTGTCTGCTGTGAATTGCTTGATTCACTGTGAAAGAGTCTCCCTTTTGTTCTCAGAAATGTATCTTCTGTAAAGTGAACTGTCCCTTTTTTCCCTCCTGCAGCTGCAAATGTTTCTATGCTCCCTGTATCATCTCCGTCCCTGAGGTTATTGCAGATTAGAAGGCAAAAAAAACGCACTCATGATGACATGTTTTCCAAGCTCATGCAATCCTCCCACACTGATAGGGCACAGCTGAATGCATGGAGGCATTCAGTGGCTGAGGCCAGGAAAGGATACAGTGAGCGTGATCAGAACACGCAAGAGGAGATGCTGAGGCTAATGGGGGAGGAAACGGACATGATCAGGCGTCTGGTGGAGTTGCAGGAAAGGCAACAAGAGCACAGACCGCCGCTGCATCCATTGTATAACCGCCTGCCCTCCTCCCCAAGTTCCATATCCTCCTCACCCAGATGCCCAAGAACGCGGGGGGTGGCGGGGAAGGCTCCAGGCACCCAGCCACTCCACTCCAGGTGATGGCCCAAGCAACAGAATGCTGTCATTCAAACAGCTTTGATTTGTAGTGTGGCTGCAATAAGCAATGTGGCCTTGTCCTTCCCTCCTCCCCCATCCCACCCCGTTATCAAACCCTTTGTACACCTGGGCTTCCTTTTACTAGTCAGCATTGCCAATGATCACAAGTTTTTTTTTAATAAATAAAGAATGAATGGATTCAGAACAACAGGGACTTTATTTCCTGTGCCAACTGCAGTCGAAAGGGGGCGGGGGGAGGGGGATTGGCTTACAAGGAAGTACATTCACCAAAGGGGGAAGCTTTGCATCAAGGACAAACACATACAACTGTCACACTGTAGCCTGGTCAGTCATGAAACTATTTTTCAAAGCCTCTCTGCTGCGCAGCACGCCTCGGTGTGCTTTTCTAATTGCCCTGGTGTCTGGCTGTTCAAAATTGGCCACTGGGTGATCTTCCTCAACCTCCCACCCCGCCATAACCGTCTCCCCCTTACTCTCACAGATATTATGGAGTACACAGCAAGCAGCAATAACAATGGCAATATTGTTTTTGCTGAGGTCTAACCTACTCAGCAAACTGCGCCAGTGCCCTTTTAAACGCTCAAAGGCACATTCTACCACCATTCTGCATTTGCTCAGCCTATAGTTGAACTGCTCCTTAGTGCAGTCCAGGCTGCCTGTGTATGGCTTCATGAGCCATGGCAGCAAGGGGTAGGCTGGGTCCCCAAGGATAACTATTGGCATTTCAACATCCCCAATGGTAATTTTCCGGTCTGGGAAGAAAGTCCCTTCTTGCAGCTTTGCGAACAGCCCGGAGTTCCGAAAGATGCGAGCATCATACACCTTTCCCGACCATCCCACATTGATGTTGGTGAAACGGCCCTTGTGATCCACCAGTGCTTGCAACACCATTGAGAAGTATCCTTGCGGTTTATGTACTCACTGGCTTGGTGCTCCGGTGCCAAGATAGGGATATGGGTTCCGTCTATCGCCCCACCACAGCAAAGGAACCCCATTGCAGCAAAGCCATCCTCTATGCCCTGCACATTTCCCAGAGTCACTACCCTTCTTAGCAGAAGGTTAGTGATTGCTCTGGCTACTTGGATCACAGCAGCCCCCACGATAGATTTGCCTACTCCGAATTGATTCCCAACTGACCGGTAGCAGTCAGGCATTGCAAGCTTCCACAGGGCTATCGCCACTCACTTCTCAACTGTCATGGCAGGTCTCATCTTGGTATTCCTGCACTTCAGGACGAGGGAAACCAACTCACAAAGTTCCATGAAAGTGCCCTTACGCATGCGAATGTTTCGCAGCCACTGGGAATCATCCCATAGCTGCAACACTATGTGGTCCCACTAGTCTGTGCTTGTTTGCTGGGCCCAGAATCGGTGTTCCACTGTATCAACTTGCCCCAGTGCCACCATGATGTCCCAATTGCCACAGCCCGTGCTTTCAGGAACATCTGTGTCCATGTCCTCCTCACAATCTTCCTCATGCTGGCGGCTCCTAGCCAAGTTCTGCACATACTGCAGGATAATGCACAAGGTGCTTGCAATGCTCACAAAAGCAGTGTACAGCTGAGCAGGCTCCATGCTTGCTGTGCTATGGGGTCTGCATGGGTAACCCAGGAAAAAAGGTGTGAAATGATTGTTTGCTGTTGCTTTCAAGGAGGGAGGGAGGAGGGGAGACTGATGACATGTACCCAAAACCACCTGCGACAATGTTTTTACCCCATCAGGCATTGGGAGCTTAATCCAGAATTCCAATGGGCAGCAGGGACTGTGGGATAGCTACCCACAGTGCACCACTCCGTGAGTCGATGCTCGCCACAGTATTGAGGACGCACTCTGCCGACCTACTGCGCTTAGTGGGGACATGCACGATCGACTGTATAAAATCAGTTGCTAAAGATCGACTTCTATCAAATCGACCTAATTTCATAATGTAGACATGCCCTGAGAGGAGACCGCTCTCCTGTCAGCATAGAAGCATCTTCTCTGACACGCTGCAGTGGCTCATCTGCATTGGTAAAGCTGCGCCGCTACAGCGTTTTAAGCATAGACCCATCCATAAGCTCCTAAGTGCCTAAATCACTTTTGAAAATGCAACTTAGGCCTGGGCTACACAGGGTGGGGGGGAAGGGATCGACCTAAGATACACAACTTCAGCTACGAGAATATTGTAGCTGAAGTCGATGTATCTTAGGTTGACTTACCTCACATCCTCACGGCGCGGGGACGACTGCTGCCGCTCCCCCGTCGACTCCGCTTCCGCCTCTCGCCACGGTGGAGTACAGGAGTCGACGGCACAGTGATCGGGGATCGATTTATCGCGTCTACACTAGACGCGATAAATCGATCCCCGATAGAGCGATCACTACCCGCCAATCCGGCGGGTAGTGTAGACATACCCTCAGATGCTCTCAAAAATTGTACCCTAAATCTCTCTTTGCCTCAACTTCCCCATTTGTACAATAAGGCTAATGGTGTGCTGGGAGGATTAGTTAGTTAATGTATGTAAAGGGCTCTGAAGATCAATGTTAGGTTCTTTTTTTTTCATTTTGGGGAGTTTATAAATCAGTATAAAATAGTGAGCACAGAAACTCATGTTAAGTAAAGGAGTATTAGTTTTAATTTCATATGCACTTTCACAATGAACCCCCCCCCCCCCCATAATCATCCATGTACTCCATGGCAAACTTGATCTAAATTCTGCAGCAAAGTTCCCCAGATTCTGCAACAGACTGAAAATTCTATTTACATTTTTAAAAACTGAGGTTTATAAGTGAACTAACCATGAAAATGATACAATTAAGCAGTCTCAGTATTTATTTGTAGATTAAATTAAATTAAGTTTATCCTGCCCCGTATTTTCAAGTTGACTGATTTTCTATTGACAATGCCATAGAAGTTGTCTGGTACAAAGCTGGAGGTCTTGGCGACGGTGTAGGAGAGACAGCTGAAGCTTTTGGCATGGGATAGAGTAGGAGACAATTTGGGATTGTGGCCTAAGCATGTTAGCTAGATGTTTCTGCTGAAGTGATGAGCAGTGAAATAGTTAATGCCTACATTTAAATAGTCATGTTTACGTTTTAGTCCTATCTCTTCTTTTCTTCAGAGTCTAAACTTTAGCTTTTCTGTCACAAGTATAACCTTTAAAATGTAAATCACTGCACTGCTGTCCTCTTACTCCAGCCTTGCAGAAAACGGTCTTCAGCTAAACAGCAGCAAAGAAGGTTTAAATGCATTCAATGAGGATTGAACTCTACCCAACCCCATTCCCTTAAGTGAGAGACTCTCCCACCCCTAATATCCAGGGTATGCTCCCAGGGGGACAAATTTCAAGGTCCTTACTCAGGCACTGATGTAGCAAAGCTCTTAGGACCAGATTTTTAAAGGCACCTAACTCCTTTAAATACCTTTAAAATTTGACCCTTAAGCTTGCATGTAACTTCAAGCACATGCATAGTCCCACTGATTTCAGTGAGAATATCCAGTGCCTAAGTGCTCTGTTGGCTCAGGGCATCAATTGTTACTCATGGAAAGCTCCCAGTGAAGTCAATAGGAGTTCTGCCTGAGTAAGGACTTAGTAAAAACTGAGCAAGGACCTTGGGGTTTGGCCCAGTAATTGTGCTCAATACCATCTCTGGAGTTTGTCTAAAATGACTAAGATTTCTCTTACTGATGCTCATCTCAGACCTTGATGGGTAGTCACTAGGGAAAAATTTACTTCTATGTAATTCATATGCTAATAAGACCATAAACCAAGCCAAGCTGATCAGATTGTATATGTTTCGGGTAATGAAAAAACATCACCCTGCTCGTAACACTTTTGTGTTTACCAAATCCATACCATGACTGAAATGTCTCCACCGCTAGGAGGACAGTGTGAAAGGTCCATGCTCCCCACATCCCTTGCTCAAAGGTGCACCTTTATGTTTGTTCAGAAAGCTATGTCATTTGGGTTATCTCTGAAAGTACGTTTTCTTTTTTCGGAGTTTTAAGTGAATCGCAGTTATGATAAAACCTGCCAGCACTATCACTGCGCCAGAAACCGTGTAGGCAATTCCCAGGAAGAGGTTACTCCCTCCACTCCATGTGCTGGTTGAGAGGACCACCTGCTTTTCCCCTTTGAATTTGGTAACAGGGAAATCTGATTAGGTGACGTTAAAGTTTCATTAACAATCAGGATGAAATGTTCAGTGAGGCGTGTGCAAAAAATACTCTTCAAAGGACACAAGGCGGTGATTTTTGCATTTGTTGTAAAAGTCTTTTATGGTGCTTTTAACTATTCTGTGTTCTCTTGCCTCTTGTTACCAGTGGCTCCACAACCCCCAAAATGGCTGGGTGAGGGTAAGAAACTCACACGCATCATGTGCATCTATAGTCTTAGCAAAATTATTGAAATACATTGGATTCTTTAATAATATGATGTCAGATTCACCCTCATATAGCTATGTACTGCACTGAAGCTGCATCAGAAGATTTAAAGGCAGCCTCCAAAAATTACTGGGAAATTCGCTTTCTGGGTGCTATTGTACTGAAGAACCTTTTAGCACTTTCCTTGACAATCCCAATGTCTCAGACATGAGGACACTCCACATAATGTTCTTGTTGCATCCCTACCTCTCAATTCTGAGTCATGTTTATTCATCTAAGGCCTGGTTTACATGGGAGAGTTTTACCATTTATGCCAAAATAGTTATTCTATTCGTTAATATAACTCCATGTGTGGACATTTTTATTCAGTTTAATGTAAACCCCTTCCCAAGCAACATAAGCCAGTGGCTCTCAAACATCTAGTCCAGTGGTTCTCAACCAGAAGTACGTGTACTCCTGGGGGTATGCAGAGGTCTTCAAGGGTATACTTCAACTCATCTAGATATTTTCCTAGTCTTACAACAGGCTACATAAAAAGCACTAGAAAAGTCAGTACAAACTAAAATTTCATACAGACAATGACTTGTTTATACTGTTCTATATACTCTACACTGAAATGTAAGTACAATATTTATATTCCAATTGATTTATTTTATAATTATATGGTAAATATGAGAAAAGAAGCAATTTTGCAGTAACAGTGTGCTCTGACATTTTTGTATGTTTATGTTTGATTTTGTAAGCACGTAGTTTTTAAGTGAGGTGAAGCTTGGGGGTACGCAAGACAAATCAGACTCCTGAAAGGGGTACAGTCATCTGGAAAGACTGAGAGCCACTGATATCAGCTGAGCTAGAAAACAGCCATCTCAGAGTAGAATAAGGGACATCTACATTGCAGCTGGGGATGTTAACGGCAGCTCGTGTAAACGTCCCTGTACTCTAGCTAGCTCACTAAAAACAAAAGTGAAGATGCCGTGGCACAGTCTTCAGCATGGGCTCCACAAGCCTGCCTGACTCCCAGGATACGTACTCACTAATGTAGCCTATGTTGAAGCCTGCGCCACAGCCAGGGCCGGCTCCAGGGTTTTTGCCACCCCAAGGGGAGGGAAAAAAAAACAAAAAAAACCCCGCGATCGGCGGCGGCAGTTTGGCAGCAGTTCCACCACGCTGCTTCATTCTTCGGCGGCAGGTCCTTCCCTCCAAGACGGACTGAGAGACCCGCCGACGAATTGCTGCCAACGAGCCAGGCGTGCCACCCCCTTCCATGGGGCCGCCTCAAGCACCTGCTTGGTACGCTGGTGCCTGGAGCTGGCCCTGGCCACAGCCTCCTCGCTTCTGTTTTTAGTGAGCTAGCTATAGTACCGTTAATGCAGATACGTCTACACAAGCTGCCATTCACACCCTTGACTGCAGTGTAGACATGCCCTAAGTGTGTCCACACAGGAGGTGATAGCAGTATAACTATATCAGTATAAATTCACCCCTCAGGTTATGCTGTGTAGATAAAGTCTAAGCCTTTTTAATTCCCCAGCAGCTGTACCAAAGCTGGCACTGCCAGGCTTTGCCTCCAGCCAAAGTTCAGGCAAGCAGTTGCCTCAGAAGTTAGATCTAGTGTCACACGGCCTGATATAGGGTATTTAAGAGACAGGTCTTAACTGCACCAGCACAGGCTGCAGGAAATCCAGGGATTCCCGACCCAGACTAGATCTCCCTCAGGTTTTATGTTGTATTACTGGCAAGCCACCATACTAGCAGGCATCTCTTTTTTTAACCTGCCTAAAAATTAAGGAGTCCCTTGGACATGATGAAAGGATACTGTAGGTAATGTGGAAGGTGTAATTCCCTGCTGGGAGACCATCAGCAAACTGGTTGGTATGTCTGAGATGACGGTAAAGGTTTCTGAATGTGGGAAAGGCTGACACCCGCATCCAGATGATAAAGTCATCGTTTATATAACCATTGTTCCTTTCATCCTCCTCATCCAGTAAATAAGCTGGTTTCTGCCAGTAAGGAGGCCTTGTTGTTCCTAGGGAGGAAGATGGAGAATAGGGATGAGCTGTCAATGTTTAGAACGCTGCTAAGACAGGTAGTTAAATTATTTAATCCTTCTGGGTTTCTGATGTTCGACCAAAAATACAGATCAGACAAAGGTTCTGTCCAATAGTCACAAGACACAGAGCAAATCACACTTTCCATCCAAAGATCTCAGATCACCTCTCAGACATTAACGAACTGAACCTCACAACATCCCTGTGGTAAACAGTATTATCCTCATTTTATAGATGGGGAAACCAGTGCAGGAGAGGCAAAGCGACTTGTACAGGAATAGTACCCCACTCTAATCATAAGACAACTTTTCCTCTGCATGTAATTGTTCACCTTTATTTTTCATTTTTATGCATCGATTCCTTTCTGTATACCTACAAAATGCACTAAAAGAGCAGTAAACATATGCATCCTATTTGTCGTTCATTTGAAAATCTTTCTACAATATTTAGAAGAAGAAGAATATTGATACTACTTAGATTGTTACTTCTTAAGGGACAGAGACTGTTTTCATGTTCTGTGTTTGTACAGGACCTAGCACCATGGAGTCCTGGGTTCATGACTGGGGCTACTACAGTCTACTGCAATACAAACTAATTGTAATAACAAAACAGTGCTAATGAATACATATTTAAAGATGGAACAAATAGGTGATTCCACTTGGTTAACTTCTTTTGCCCAAGACCTTTAGTGGGTGAGGATGGTGAGGAAAGTAGTGGGCCTTCACTCTCCTGACCTTCTAGAACATCTTTTCTCTTCATAACATCCCAGTCTTCTCCCTAAATGTGGCATATTTCCCCACTGAAAAGTTGGAGAAGGTCTCGTAAGGTTGCTCTCACAGTGCTTCCCCTGGATAAGTTACCTGTCATCGGGAAGAATACATAGACCCGTCTCCTGGAGATTGTACCTGTCTCAGGAGACTTCCACGAACAAAAGAAAGACTTTTATAGTAAGGCATGGCAGTGGAATCATTCTTACCTGCAAATGCAGAAGAGAGATTGTATGATGTTGGATTCCGAAATTTCACATTTTTATCTGACCACCAACTATTTCCACTCTTCAGCAATGGGACTTTGATAGCAGTGGATGAGTTAAGATAGTAAAAAAGTTGAATAGAATCTGCAGGGAGATCCAAAGTAATACATGTTATTAACATGTCTACAACTTCCAACAGTCACTCCAGTAGTCAACCTGACCAAGTGAAACCTTAAATAGAGAGAGAGAGAGAGTCAGTCCTGTGAACAAACAAAGAAAAGATCGGGAGAGGGTTTTATCATTACTTCATCATGTACACATTCTGTGTGCCTCACAAGTAAAGGACCATTTAAATTTCCTGAGTAAGAGCACCCTTGGAAGTTTTAAAAGCTGACCATAATCTCTACTGGAAATTCTCCGTGCATCACCATGACAGAATATCCACAGCTGTATTTAATTTAAGTCCCTTGATTCCTCTGTGATCAAATTCTTGGGATTGTGTGACCTGAATTTTTTTTTTTTTTTTTTTGAGGAGCTAGAGAAGGAATGCTAGTTACAATCTATGAGAAGGCTTACTCTCCTATTTACCTCTGCCTTGGATTTTGTTAGGTAGTGTAACTGAAGTGAATGTGATCCTACTTGCTGGGGTTTGAAGTCTCCACTTGCATTTCTGAAACAGGTTCTATAATATGCAAAAATCAAATGTCAAAGATATATGAAGACGACTTGTTAACTGAAGCTGCTATAGGCTGAAGAGCCTTTGTAACTTGTTACCAGCAATTTCCTTTAATCATCGTTTCCAACATCCAAAAAGAAACTAAGGGAAAGTGTACTAGAGTCATGCACCACCCCTTCATTTTCATGGAACAGAATGTGCATCTTTGTTTATGTTGAGAAAATATGAAAAGAGATAATGTGACAAGTAGCTACAACCTTAAACTGGTTTATTTTTTTAAAACCTGAAAACTGTAGTCCTTTATTAATTAGCTTGTCAGCTTCTGAGAACAATGTCAGGATAGCTTTCTCCCTGTAAAATCCTGGTGGAGACACAGGACAGGTAGTTTTTACCTCACTGTATTTTGTTGAGGAAAACTCCAGGTGGGGGGTTTAGTGTTAACCTCAGCTAGCAACATCGAGGTAAAAACTACCTCTGCCTTGTCTCCACCAGGATTTTACAGGGAGAAAGCAATCTTGCTATATAAATGCACTTTTTTTTTTTTGCAGTAAAGATATAACCTAGGGAATCAATGTCTTGAAGAAACATTTTGATTTGTCTTCATGAGAGTGAGGCTGTGTCTACACACTGAAGTTGTGAGAAGCGGAGAAGCTATATAGCTGCATCCATACTAGAGTTGCTGTATCAATATAACTATATTGGTTAAAAAAAGATTAGATTCTCTAATCAATGTAGTTGTGCTTGTACAAAAGCCATTGATGTGCAGACCTGGCCTTGTGTTGGTTTAAAACTGGTTATAGTAGTTTAGCTTGCACATGTAAATTGACTGACAAGTTAAATCACTATAAGTCAGGATTATTAAGCCAATATAAGTATGTCCATAGAGGGGTTTGCATCAGTTTAGAAACACAACTTTAGTTAAGACAGTGCAACTGTTTGTGTAGACCAAGCCTAGATCAGATTCTCCATTTCAAGAATGTGCCACACACTTTTAAGCCAGTCACCCTAAGAAAGCGGAAGCTGAGTTTTCTAGGCCCACCCAATAGCCTGTTGTAAAGCTAGGATCAAGTCTGTAAATTACTGTCCTCCTCTTTTTCTAGGATACTCAGTTCCCCAATCCTGTAACTGGATCATGTGGGTGCACCCCTGCACTCACATGGAGTCTCACTGAGTTTAGTAATGTAAGTGGAGTCATTGCAGTGCAGCACGTAGGGAGCCATATCCACTTTGGCCACACTGTCAAACAGTTTAACATCCATATATGAGAGAGACAGACAGACAGAGATGCAAGGATCAGACATGTAGAGAACATGCAAGGATCAGCACTTAGATGGGGCTCTGTGAGGTCTCAGGGGCACAGAGATATTTAAATTGGTTACATCTGTGCAGGTGAATAAATCAGATGTGGAAGGTACTTACCATTGAACATACTGTTGGCGATGGCGCCGCATGGAGCCATTGGAGTTCCGTTTGGATAGATTGTGAAAGGCGCACAATTGCTGTTCTGAATCTGAACGCAAGGTCAAAGGACAATTAGAAATGTCTTTTCCTGATCAACATTTTTTTGGTCAATCTTTTACTCTCATTTCCCTCTTCAAAAAAACCAAACAAACCGGGGAAAAAACAACAACCCAAAAAAGAAAACCACCAAACACCTAAGAGTGCTAGGAGTTGCCAGTGCTTTCCAGTCACATTAGAGATGGGCCCAAATAGAACGAGACTGGGGTGAGGTGTATCTGCCGTGGTCTAGTGTCTACACAGCTGCTGGCAACATATTTCCCAGCACAGATAGATTGTTGCTGTATGACAGAGCCACACAAACAAGGAAAACCAACTAACTTTACAGGGGAAACTGTGAAACTGTTTATGCGGAAACTAAACATACTGAAAACAATAGAGTTTTTTTTCTCTAGTCTCTTTATTTCCATTATATTCATATTTTACATACAAGAGAGTGGTTGCAACACTGAAAGACCAGCTTAGGTCTGTTAACAGGATTATAAAAAGGTTTTTCCCATCTGCACTGGAATGTGAGTCCATGATATAACCACAGCTGGGCTACAATGATGTTGTAACGGTGTGCCTTAACACTGCTGTAACTGCAGGCTGATGTTCAAACAAATGGTTTTGATTGCCTCAGTTTGTCGGTACTCCATTTGAGTCCTCTTAAAGGGGCCTGGCATTCGAAGGGTGAGTGCTCAGCACTTAGTCACTTTTTAAAATAAAGCCTGAAACATAGAGAGGACCTTAGGGCCAATCTAGACTAGAATTACAAATAACAATTACAACCAGTTACAATGATGTATTCCCTGACCCAGTTACAACATGGTTCCATTTTTCAGTGTAGACAGGACATTTAACTGCATCCCCAAATTCTGCTAAAACGTTGGACTTATCTAAGCCTTTACCATGGATCGAAGACATGCGTAAAAAAATGCTAAGTGCCATCCATTCCCCAGGACAACTGTCTTGTAGCCATGTCCCCAACTCGTGTAGATTGGGTCTAAAACTGCTAGCAAATCTTCAATAAAATCCAACTACTAATGATATTGCTAATAATTCTCGGCACTTGTGATCTGTAGACCTCAAAGCACAATCTTATGAAAATTCCTTTTCCAGGCATTGAAGTCAGTCTGCTTCCCTGTTTGCATACGCATGCTACAGCTTCTAAGACAACCAAATTGTTTATCAGAGTTACAATTTGTGACCGTTGCTTCTGTATTTAATACTGAAGCTTTGCAATATCTCTGTGAACTGTTATAAGTGGGAAATGCTAGTAGAAAAGTTTACAGTGCCTTCTAACCTCAAGGAGATGACACTCACTAAAGAGTTGAGAAAGGGAGCTTAACCCCTTGCAGCTGACCACATTTTCTATTCCCCACAAATGAGATGGCCAAGTCTAGTGCTCCGAATTTAAAGAAACAGAGGAATAAAAATATTGAGCTCTGGATTTTTTTATGCACTTTTGGGCCCAACTGTGGTTTATAATCACAGCCTACCCTGGAGGGGAAATAGAGGGGCCGTGTTGCAACAAGAGACTCCAGGAGGAACTCTGGTGATCTAAGGTTACACAGCAACAGAGGAGAAACAGTAAAAAAATAAAAATAAAAAAGGTAAATGTAAAACCACAAAAACTGGCAGAAGGACCCAGAGGCAGGTGTAGTACTAGAAACTACTTTTTAACCAGAGAACCACACACTAAGAGCCTCCTCACCGGATGAAAATATTGATGATGGGGGAGGGATAGCTCAGTGGTTTGAGCATTGGCCTGCTAAACCCAGGGTTGTGAGTTCAATCCTTGAGGGGGCTACTTAGGGATCTAGGGCAAAATCACTACTTGGTCCTGCTAGTGAAGGCAGGGGGCTGGACTCAATGACCTTTCAAGGTCCCTTCCAGTTCTAGGAGATGGGATATCTCCATTAAACAAACAACAATAAACAAACAAACAATGATGTGTCAATAAGAAATACACTTACGTTTACATCTTGACCCAGCAATTGTGCATCACTTCTGGAGAGGACATACCGACGGTGGTTCTGATAAAAGTTTTGCAGACGATAGTACATAAAAACATCGCCCTAGAATTCAAAGGAGAATAACACAGGATGAGGAGAGCATAAACAAAATAGGTCATTTTTACAGACTGTTGAAAAAAAAATACCGGGGAAGGGGGGGCGGACAGCCTGATGGACGTGGTGTTAACTACATTTCAGCTGACTATTTTAGCAGAAAAATTCACTTATCTTGGGTTTGTGGGTGGAGCATGGACAGAATACCATCATTTCCCCCACCCATTGCTTTGGCATCGCTGAATGGAA